TATTAAGAAACATCACCATGATATTGAATAATAATTTACTAATATATAATATATCAAAAAGATGAATAGCCAACAAATAGAATAATATTATTTCATTTTTATTTTTTATATGTAGAAAAAACATAGATGTATCTTAAAATGTTTAATAAGAATTGAAGCAACAAAAACATCTAACATAATTTATTAGATTTAGTATTTGGTACATTAACTTGATTTTGTTGTAAAATAAGTTGCTATTAATATCATTAATATGGATATTTTAGATTTTATAAAAACCATAAAAAGAACTATTAATTGATTGCATTATTAGAAAGTTTTTATTTGCCATATGAAATCCAAATGTCTATATTATATTAATATTGAATATTATTAAATAATCTTTTGAAGTGATTCATGTTGAATTATTAAGAGATTTTTTATATTTTAATAAAAATTGTATACTACATCTCATCACAGATACACTACACATGAGACCTAATAAAAAGTTTAACGGAAGAGTTTTTACAAGAAAGCTAAAAAAAACTGGATTAAACTAAATGACTAAAATATCAATACCAAAAAAAGTGAGCTAGAACTCCAAGAGATGTGTTGTCAAGAATGAAGATCTCTTTAGCTTTGACTTAATATATATTAGGTATTAAGAAGCTTTTTAAGAAGTTCTTATATTGCTTGAAGCTAAATCAATCTCAAGAAGAATTTCAACAAGCTCCTATGTTACTTGAAGATGAATCAACCTTAGAAAGCATCTCAACAAGCTTTTATATTACTTCAAGTTGAAGCAATCCTAAAAAGCTTCTTAAGCAACTTCTTTAATCCTCTTAGAACTTTTTAGAATTCTCTAGAATGTTTTGAAAATCTTTTAGAACCTTCTATAACTTAATAAAATATTTAAAGAATATTCTTGTTGGATGTCTAGAATACATTTCTATCAAATATCTTGTGGTTGGTTGCTGGTATAATTGCATTCTATTTCAATAATATATGAACAATATTCAATATATTTTAGGCTACTGTTGCTATTATTAAAAGATAATATTATTGGTTTTTAAAATTAATGGATGATTTGAAAATTCACTTTATTTTTCATCAAAATCTTAAATTAGATTTTTAACTAATCATGGCATATTTATTATAGAGAAATTTGTCTCATTAGATAGTTCTTTGTAAGTTCAAGTAATTTATTTTCTATGTGTTGTGGCATTAATGTAATAGCCAAAAAGTTGGAATCTCTATTAAAGCAATTGTCTTACAAAGAATTATTATTTTGTATCTTATTAGTTTATATAATATTACAACTATATTATTTTTATCTAATTGTAAGATCAATTTTTAGAATGCATTCTTAATTCTTCTGTGTTTTCTTATAGATGTGGTCAAAACATTATTTGTTGATTTTAAGGATTTGATCAAATTTCACAAAAATCAATTTAAAACAATGTAAGATAATACATTTATTTAAAAACTCATACACAAGCTCAAGCTCTTAATTATAATTGTGGCTATTAAATCTTTATTATGATTGTTATTGAATTATAATTTAAACAAGTCATTTTAAAAAGCATAAACTCTAGCTAGTCGTTGCTTTTCTCACCTTGATTTATTTACTAATGGTATTGATTGTATTATGCCTATCATATCTTCCATTGAATAGGATTTCTCATTGATAGACTTTGAACATGACAAGCTCTAATAAACTTAGACATGATAAACTTTTCATTAGATGGGATGTTGAACTCTAAGGAATATTTTTATCTTATAAAGTAGCTAAACATCTTCACTTTGAAAAAAAATATAAACTTTAATTTATTATAATTTGATAAACTAAGCTTAAACTTATTGATTTCTACTAGTATGTTTTAAATCTTTTATTAATAAAAAAAAATTGTGTCTTTTATTAATTGAAAAATGACAAATGCATCCTTATTCTACATTAAAAGGACCTATATATAGGATTGCATTATTAATATCCTTTATCAAATTTTCTATCTAAAAAAGAAATAATAATATATGTTACAAATTTAATTATATTGAAGTTCTTTAAAAGATTTAATAAAATCTTCTAAAATTTTAGATATTTTATATTTTTTTATATTTTTTTATATTTTTTTATAATTTTTTATAATTTTTTAAAATATTTTACATAGCTTTAGAGTTTTTCATTGTCTTTTGTAAGTTTTTAAAAGCTTTTCACAATCATCTAGAAGGTTTTGTAATGTTATACAAATTTTTAATATTAAAAGTAATCTTTTAGATATTTCCATTAAAAGTCTTTTGGCTTTGAAGATATCTTATGATTTTTGAATCCTCGCTTAGAAGTATTTTTATAACATAGATATTGTAGTATATATAAGAAAATAAAAATAATAAATACCTTATCCTTATAAATTTTTTTTAAAATTAATAAAAAATCAACTTAATTTTGAGTTTTTTCAATAATTTTGTTTTAATTCCGATAATATGTTTTCTTTTGTCGCTTTTGATTTACTTGTCATTTATTGACCTGGCATTGATATCTTGTGGCAAGATGATTTTGAATTACACTTTGAACTTTTAGATTTTTATTGAAAAAAATACTTTGTTGTGGACCAACATGCCACCCTTCTGTCTTATCTTTATTTCATTAGCACTTGTACATGGTTTGCTTATTCAATGCCAATAAAATTTTAGCCTTCTTAAGATTTTTTGTCATGAATTTTTTTTGGCAATTCTAATTATTTTAAATTACCAAAACTTTTGATTTTTTTTCATAGCATTATAAAAAAAAATCTTAAAATAACATGTTTTCAGCACTCAAAATTCATGTGTAGTCCAAGTTTGTTTATTTGTTTGTCAATGGTTCAGAATTTAAAAAATAAAAAATATATCTTAATCACTGTAATTATTTTTAGGAAAATTAAAATTAAAATTTTGAATTTTTGAATTCTTATTCAAGTTCACAGAATATAATCATTATTACTGTTATGTGAGAAAACAGAGACAATATATTAACAGAATCTGTGTGCTGTAATAATAATGTAACATTCATATATAATTTTTTAATGGAATATATATATATATATATATATATACTTATGTAAACAACAAGAAAAATGAATTCTTTTTGTTTTGTTTGTTTGTTTGGTTCTGGTTTTGGGTTTTGGATTATGAGTTTTTCTTTTTTTCTTTTTTTCTTACAATAAAATATCATTGACGTAAAAAACATATTAATAATCTGTGTTCTGTAAAACGCTTCATTTTGTAAAATTAAAATTTCAGATCTACAAATCATGCATAAAACAAGCGGAAACACAACTACACTGCAATGAAGAGAAAACCAAAGATAGTTCAACAAAGCAAATGGTCAATTAATTTCCCTGTGAATTGTGTATGAATTGAGTAAGAGTGAGCAATTTTGATTAAATTTTGTAGATATTCCTCTGCACGTGCCTTAACAACTCACTTCGTCAAATTCTCATGTCAGTACCTTTACTTTACAATTTTAAGATAAACAAATTCAGCTAGAGACACAGAATGGGCTACGTTAGTGTGGTCCACACTATTTCACAAACCCTAAAACTCCAGCACCGTCGTGGTCCAGGTCAAATACGCAGCCACGTGTCGAAGCCCCAAAAGAGACGGACCATTCCACGTCAGATATTAAACTAGGGTGTCCATATCACCAACCCTATTAACATCCACCACGTGTCGTAACATACATCGTTCGCGGGTTCCGGTTCCAATTCGCGTTAGACCTGTCACCGCGGGCCACTAAGAAAGGACCTGGATTTGGAAGTAGGAGATAGGCCCATAACCGCAGGTGCAGTGTCGTATAAAGGAAGTGAATCCATGGCCGTTCGTTTGTGTGTTTTTTTTTGGTTTTTTTCGGCGTGCAGTTCAATTATTAGGAATATGGAAAAAGACAGAAGAAGTTGGGGAGCTGACGTCAAAGATCTTTTGCACCAGTGAGAGAAGCAGGGCCCCAGTTTAGCGGAGGACGGACACGCTCCACCCCCAACAACAACAACAAAAGGGGGGGCCCAAACCCTAGGACGTCATTCGTTCGACGAGAGGGAGGCGACGATCGTCCAACGGGGGGACGAGAACCTGAGCCACCTGCGCTGCAAGGGTGCAAGCAGCGTCGTTAGGCGGCTCATTTGCAAGCAAGGCTGCGACTCCCCCACCGCCGCAGCAGCAGCGAGCTCCTCTTTCCTTCACTCTCCCTTTCTCTTCCGCATCTAATTCCACGGCTCCCGAACTGGACACAGGTTTGATTACTAACTCTTCTTCACTGTGCGTTGTTGTTGTTGTTGTTGAACTTCTTACTTTCGTCGGGTTGTTTCTTTTTGTTCTTTGTCTTTGTGCTTAGTTTTGTGTGTTTTTGTGTGGGAGTTTTTTTTTGTTTTGTTTTGTTTTTTAATTTTTTTTTAATTTTTAATTTTTGGTTCTAGGTGTTTTGTGGTTGGGGTTTGTGGTTGTGGCTATGCGTAGTCGGATTTGTTGATGTTTTAGCGTTGTGCGGCACTGAGTTTTTTCGAGTTTGCGTGGTCAATAGGTTTGATTCGCTTCCTCGGAGAGTTGTAGTCTCTTGAGGTGTGAATGTTCGTGTGATCATTGCAATGAAGAATTGGTCTGGTTCTGGTAGTTTGGTTTTGTGACTCGCATGTGTGAATTTTGGAGATGCTTTGTGTTCCTTAGGGTGTGGTTTTCGGCTGGCAGTGCGACGCTTGCTGATCTATAGGAATATAATGTAGATTTGTGAGTGTTAGATGGGGAGAAGGTCTGTAATTGTAATCGTGCGGTAGTGATCGATTTGTCTTGTATTTTCCAATTTCTGTTTTCTATTTTGATCTCTTTCCTTTTTCTGCTTCTTCTTCTCGGTGGAAAACTTTTGCTTGGGGTTTTTCAGTTGTGTGTGCGGTTCTAGATTGAAGTGTACCCTGCTGTTTACAACAGTCACATGACAACCTCTTGTTTTTGAACAGATCCAGTATTTTTTAGTGTGCATTTAAGCACACGCAACAATGGTCTCAGACGCAAGCAAGAAGAAGGCCGCGGCCAAGAAGCTTGCTGCAGCCGAGAAGCGTGGATCTAAGTCTGCGGCTGTTGTTGCTCAGTCAAAGTTGAAAGATGTGTCCAACGGTACCACAGCTGATACCCTGGCGGAGGAATTAGCTGCCGCCAATATCACGGATCGGACGTGTACGGGTATTTTAGCGTCGCACGCCCAGTCAAGGGATATTCATGTAAGTATTGATATTTCCAACGTCATGTACTTGAAACTGGTTCTTCTTATTCTAATTCACCATGAATTGCATGATGCGTAAGGCTTGACATTTTCTGAACTTCTTACTTCTTCTAATCAGCGTTTGCGAGAATGTAGTGCACACATTTACATCTGTTGCTTGCAGATCTGTCTCAGTGCAAACCAACTCAGAGGAATATTCTCTTGTGTTGTGCGCTGTGGAGGAGGGCTAATCCACAAATAAAGTCTGTTGGTTTGGTGGATGTTAGTAGGTTCGAAACGGCTTCTCTTTATGGTATTATCTAATATCGCTAGGTTTGGGTCCGGGTCTAACATTTTATGCAATGTTTGCATGGGTTGATGCAGATCGAATCTTTGTCTGTAACGTTTCACGGTCACGAGCTGGTTGCAGACTCAACTTTGGAATTGAATTATGGAAGGTACGCATTCGGTTTCGTTTTCAAGACATGCTCTCAGAATTCACGGGGTGGAGTAGAAATGGAAACCTGATCATTTGACCTTTTGCGTTTATACATTGTTCCTAGTATACAGAACTGATTCTAGTTTCAACTCTTTCAGACGGTACGGATTACTTGGACTCAATGGTTGTGGAAAGTCGACGCTGCTTACTGCAATCGGGCTTCGAGAAGTTCCAATTCCAGAGCACATGGATATTTACCACTTGACTAGAGAGATTGATGCCACAGACATGACGTCGCTTCAAGCTGTTATGAACGTTGATTCTGAGAGGTTACTCTTGGAAAAGGAGGCTGAAAAGCTTTCCCAACAAGTGAGTTCTTTTAATATTTTGGTCTAAATTAGTCATTGATGTGTTGTACTTTCGTCTCCACGTTGAATTGGTTTTTATCAATAATATTCGTAACAGTTCTACGTATTGACCCTTGTATTTTATATAGGATGATGGTGGTGGTGAGCCGTTGGAGCGCATTTATGAGAGATTAGAGGCCATGGATTCAGCTACAGCTGAGATGCGAGCAGCGCAAATCTTACATGGTCTCGGATTTACAAAGAAAATGCAAAATAAGAAAACGCGGGACTTTTCCGGAGGTTGGAGAATGAGAATAGCACTGGCTCGTGCTTTGTTCATGAACCCAACGATCCTCTTGCTGGATGAACCCACAAATCATCTTGGTACGTCATTAACCTTTTAGATGGTTTCTCTTGTAGTTGGACAACTTGCACATCGTGGAGACTGCTTGTGGAATTTGAATATTTTATCTTGATTCTACTCATGCACTGATAAAACGTATTTCACTCTGCCAGATTTGGAGGCTTGTGTGTGGTTGGAGGAGACCTTAAAGAAGTTTGAGCGAATTTTGGTGGTTGTATCACATTCCCAAGATTTTTTGAATGGTGTGTGCACGAACATCATTCACATGCAAAACAAACAACTCAAGTTTTACACAGGAAATTATGATCAGTATTGTCAGACACGAGCAGAGCTGGAAGAGAATCAGATGAAACAGTATCGCTGGGAACAAGAGCAGATCTCAGCAATGAAGGAATATATCGCCAGGTTCGGACACGGTTCTGCAAAGCTTGCTCGACAGGCTCAAAGTAAAGAGAAGACACTCGCTAAGATGGAAAGAGGTGGACTAGCTGAGAAGGTAGTCAGGGATAAGGTTTTGACTTTCAGGTTCACAGATGTTGGAAAATTGCCGCCACCTGTGCTTCAGTTTGTTGACCTAAAGTTCGGCTACACACCTGACCAGTTGATCTACGAAAAGGTGGATTTTGGAGTGGATCTTGATTCTCGGATTGCCCTTGTGGGACCAAACGGAGCAGGAAAGAGTACTCTCTTAAAACTCATGACTGGTGAGCTAGAGCCACTAGATGGTATGGTACGCCGGCACAACCATCTTCGCATTGCTCAATATCATCAGCATCTTGCGGAGACTTTATCCCTTGAGATGTCAGCTCTTCAATATATGATGTCTGAGTATCCCGGTTTGGAGGAAGAGAAAATGCGATCTGCAATCGGGCGCTTTGGGCTCACAGGCAAAGCTCAGGTCATGCCAATGGGTAATCTTTCTGATGGGCAGAAAAGCCGTGTGATTTTTGCGTGGTTAGCGTGGAGACTTCCCCACCTACTCTTACTGGACGAACCGACGAATCATTTGGATATTGAAACAATTGATTCTCTTGCGGAGGCTCTGAATGAGTGGGATGGAGGTCTGGTCCTTGTTAGTCACGACTTCAGACTAATTAACCAGGTTGCCAAAGAGATTTGGGTATGTGAGAAGAAAACAATTACCAGGTGGAACGGTGACATCATGGATTTCAAGAGACACCTTAAGAAGACCGCGGGACTCTAGGTTACTATTGTTGAGTGATGCAGCGGAGGACTGCTATGTCCCCAATTTCTGACGGTTACTGCTACTACCATTGAAGACATTTAGGGGTAATGACGCAAATGTTGGGAGTGGATGTCGTATATTAAATGTGAACTTGTCCTCATCTTGGGTACCAACATCATTTTTTCCTCCATGGAACTCCATCAGCTTCTGCATTCAAAGCGGACTACAAAATCCGCTTTGTGTCCTTCCGCAGGTACCACCGATGAGTAACATCTGTGTGAGTAAAGCATGAAGGTAGGATCGGCTTATTAATTTTTGGATGGGGAAACCTGCAGTGCGTGTCCTTTTTTTGAGCACGTGCGTGAGTTGGTTTTCGGACATTTGTTCCAAGTGGACTGCAACAGTGCAAAGCCACTACGCGGAAATGTGAAGCCTGGTGATGCCCCTGGTATCCCATTCGCAATGGTTTTCTGGAGATGTGAGCGACGGGCGCCTCTTAGGCAATTTAGGTCGTAATTTCATTTATTAAGGTATTCTTTCTACAGAGCTATTTGCTAAGAGTCCTGTAATGCCTTCGTCTATGCATTATCAGAATAAGTCTCACATTTCTGTAATTTTTAATATGATATATGTGAAGTGTTGATTTTTTCCACAAATATATGTTTTATCTTCCTCTTTGGTTGAGTTTGAATGATTCAACATTTAGCCCTTCACTCAGCATCCGCAGTCTTTCGAGTGCAGTGGGTCAGAGGTTCTGCGATTTGCAACCAGATAGGTTCCACACTACGATTCTTACGTTCTCAACAATCGAATACGCAGATCCGCACTTTTTCGTAGTTCTGTAAATGACACATATAAAATGTATGAATAAAACATGTGAGGCTGATACTTATCGAACTCGTACATTATACGAAAGTCCTTAATTTGTTGATTCTCAAACTCATAAAATGTGTCAATAATGATAAATGACGGAAATCTATTGAAACAAGACAGAATTCAAGCAAATATAGTCCCATTTTTTAACATCGAATTGATTGTACAGTAATTATAAGAACTGAATTCAGCTTCATTCTTTAAAAACAATTTAACGCATGATTTGAAATGTATAGTTTGGTCAAACAAGAAACTTGGTTAATAATCACCATGAATTTGAAAGTTTGTAGAATGTTGACTGCTATTCAAATACACAGGATCAAATTGTTCTATTAATATAACATAGCGTTCATCTGCACGCTTCATTCATATGACGAAACGAATCAAAAGCTTTAAAACAAATAATGAATCGAACATCATTCTAAATTTCGTGCCTCATCCTCAAACATGTACACCAATACAAAATGCTGTTATGGAACCATCAATATTGTAACACTGTGGAGGGATAATCTCTATGATTATTGGAAAAAATCTCATGTTCCATCCAGTATAACGATTATGAAAGTTTACTTTTAAGACTATAGGTGACCTAACAGATTCTAAGCTCTAATAAATTATCAGCACCCTAATTCCTTTGGTCTTTAAACTTAAGTTTCCTTGCTTACTGAGTGTCCACAATATGCCATATCATTGTCGTAATTTAGGCTTAATAGATATTTCACACAGCCTGGTTCAAGACGAAGCTACGTTAGAGGACTTGTGTCACTTAGAATGAAGTGGTTTCAGGCAAAGAAATAAAAGAATATTCATGCTTGATCAAATGATGAGAAGAAACTGCAGAGTTTCTTACAATCCACTACTTGGTCCCAGTCCCAAATGGACAGTTTCTTACGAGGGACTGGGAAAGTCATATCTCGAAAGCGCATCAAGAACAGTATTCTCCAGTTGGAATGGCGTGCTTTTTCCTCGTCATTACACCGGCACGATTATATACTGGAGTTCACTGCATTTTCGGTATTCGAAAGTTGAATCTGGTGAACAAACAACAGAAGATTCAACAAAGTCCGATTTGCTACTGGTGCAATACTTGCTTCAGGTTAGAACAATGAGAACAAAATAGCCCAAGATGATCGAAGTCTTAAGTCTGGGCCAGAGCTACGTCATATTAAAATGGGAACGCCTCAATTTGACAAAGGCAACTATACTGAAAGCAATAGAGACCATTGGACAATGGACAATCATTCAAAGAGAATAATTAGAGGCTGCAAATTGATCTGGTTTACAAGTTTTCGCACCTCTTCTTACTCCCGTCTCTCGAGTTTCTGAATGCAACTACCAAGCCGAGTGTGTAATGCTTGACATTAAGGTGGTGGCCTGCTAGCAGATCACAGTAACGATGGATCATTCTTGGCAGAGCAACAGGACATTTTTCAAGGCGAGAATTTGGAAAGTTTACATTGAAATCCAAAAGTTCCTGGCGATTGTGGTATCCTTCGCAGTTTCAGCGTTACCTAGAAATCTATTTCTTTCATCCTGTTGGAAAGCCAAGACTTGAATAAGAAAGAAGGCAGTACGCATCGAGAGAAATATTGGTCGACCCTGCATAGGTCAGGAATATCAAGAGCAACGTGAATAAGCGTATAGAACTCTTGGTTTTACGAGTTACAATACCAGTTACCTAGACATGCCGACCGTGAAGTGGGATAAAGAACAGCACAACCAAGTCCATCCCAGAAAACTGCTACCACACATCACTTCTTGAGACTGCAAGAAAAAAATTGTTCCATTAACCTGGGGTAAATGGTTGCCACAACAATGTAAATTTCTGTAAGAAGGGACGCAAGTATGAAGTGGTGCCCCATTTTTGTTGCCATTATTTCGAAGAATAAGTCTACACTACAACGCAAAAGTTAGATGCAACTTCTTCGGGGCTACTGTACAAACGCCGCTGAACTGGGCCTAGGTGCTGGTAGCTTCCTTCAGGACTGCCCTTCGCCACTCTTCAATTTATTAGATTTGCTGTAAAGTCCAATTTGCAAGTCTACATAAGCATCCACCTTCTCCACTAGTTTGCTTCTGAGGATTACTTTTGCCATTCCCTGTATTCAGTCAAATACATCGTACATATTATCTGCCAAATGCTTTTTAAACAGCAATGAACTGTAATCTTGGTCAATGGAAACTTTCAGTAATCACTTCAAGCTAAGAAAAGAAAACGCAGATCGTTTCGTTACCTGCGTTTTGTTTTCTCTATACTTTTTGATTTCTTTACGAGTGACAACTTCAGTCAGCTTCCTGCAAAACTTCTCAAAGTCCTTGTAATGTACCTAAAGTAAAACCAGCACGATGTATATTGATAAGGTGGTCATCTTACACAAGCAAAAAACGTCAGACTTCAACAACAACTGAATGAAATATATCATGAATCCAAAAAACATCTCAACTTACCAATTGCTTCATTTCGACTCGAGCACGAACCATACCGGAAACCTGCATAATCGACGGAGTTACAAGATGATTAGAGGTTTAACTTGTCTCAACACACACACTCTCCATATTGCCAAGTAGAAAAAGATGGCACAGAATGCGAGAACTTACATGGTGGTGAAAGCTAGAACATTCAGGAGTTTCCCAACTCATCACTCTCTGGCCATTGTCATGCACACTTTCGATGTAATCTGGATGAGAGTGTGCCTGTAGAATTGATCCTACGTTGTTTGGCATATTACGGGAACAATTTGACGCCTTGAAGTCGTTTCCGGTCGTCCTGGCCCCGTAATCATCTCTCTGGATATGTGGCGGAGCTTCTAACCTAGTGACACTACTTTCGTTGTGAGATCTTAGAGAGCCTTGTGCCGGCTCTGAGGCACTACTTAGGGTTCTTTCTGATGTTCGACTACCCCGGAGACTCGTTGGTGATATTCCAGGCACGGGGGGCTCTCCTGCTGTATCGGATCCCGTTGGCTCATTACTTACAGTTTTCGTACTTGAGCTTTGCGAAGCGGGATATCCGCGCTTCGCTTGACCTCCACTAGCTTCAGGAGCCTCTTTATTTAACCTCGAAGCATTACCTGCAAATCCTTCCATCGATCTTGAGCCATTATGTCCCCAAGGTATTCCGGAAGGTGGGAGAGGTGGCGGTGGAGGTGCCAACGGAGGCCCGCCAAACATGGGACCACCCATTGCATACATCGATGGCCATTGTACAGGGGGTACACCGTGCATGGACGCAGAAGCCTGGTTAGGTTGTCCTAGATGGTATGGAAAAGCTGTATGATGCACACCGGCTGCTGGTACTTGCAAGGGACCACCTTGCATAGGGTGGGGTCCAGATAACATATCTGATCTCGGGAGCTTACCTCCAGAATAAGACCTCTGTGACATTGGAGGGACTTCATTGCCCATGGGACCTCTCGGCAAACCCATGAGCATGGGTCCCGAGGGAATAGCTTGCCTATGACCTGGCAACCCTACAGGAACATGGCCAGGCGGAAATCCTTGGTGTTGTATTACCCCAGGCTGCACCATATGATGGCCCCCATGATGTTGAACAGGTGGAAAGGGTCCTGCAGGTCGTCCCGGTATTCCTGCTGGTGTCGAAGATACTGAAGGCCTTTGTGAGGGATCAGAAGGAACTGACGGGGATTGCACTGCAGAAGGTTGTTGCGATGCAGAAGGTGCTGGAAGTTGGCTCCTGGGTGTGAAGCTAGGGTTAGCCTCCTCTGACAAGCAGCCTTGCGGATGATGTTGTGATGCGCCATGGCAAACCCCAAACCCTGCAGACACACTAGTTGTAGTAGCTGTTTCAGTATCTGAGACAGTGTCCCACCGACTTGGCCTTTTTCGCCTACTAGTTGTGGGAGGGTTTGCTGAAGTTCCTTCCACTGGTCCTCCCAGCACAGTAGAGGGCTGCTCCGCTGAGTTGTTAGCTGATGAACCTCCATGAGAAAACTCTACTGCTGAGGAGGAGGAAAGTGTAACAGGCGTCTGTTGCAAAGATGGCTTAGCTAGGGGTCGTTCAGTGCTTGTGATTGTTTTGTGCGGCCGTGGCGGTACGTATAGTTTCCTGAAAGTACGAGCCATATTCTGAACCTGCATCATTAACACGGAGGATCAAGAAATTTCACAGCAAAAGAGGTTTATCTACATTTCCTTCAACATAAATGTCACGTGAAGCTCCTTAACTATTGTAGTAAAGGTGATACAGAAAAGGACTAAGTTGAACTGAAATTACCTCCATATCATCATGCCTAGAAAGGTCGAAGAGCGTGTCGGAAAAGCTGTAAATACACACAATGCTATAATCAAAACCATGTTCAACATCTCAACTAGGCGATGAAGCCATCATGGTTAAGAACATAGATGATAGCATGATAGAAAGGCCAGTGATTGCACAGAAATAGCAGGTCCGAAAATGTGGCGATAAAATTACCATTCTGTGCCTGATCGCGGAGGACTGAAAATGTGCTCCACAGTCAAAACTCTGTTTTTTGCTAGATAATCCAAAACCTGTTAATAGAGTAACAACAATACATTAGAATCAGAAACTTCTAATATCTGAAACAAACAAAGGTCGGATTTTCTACGCACTGTCCATCTTAAACCACAAATTGAATTTCTGCAATCAGGTCTTGATTCAGGGTATCGATTCAGACGCCTGAGCATTCGTCATTCAAGCAATTAAATATAAACACCGGTACACATTCTGAAAGAACCATTAACAGAAAGCTAAGTCTTAAGAGAAGATTCGGGATCAATATTAGAACCTTAAGCAACTTGCGTAGTATTGGTCTCTTCTCAAAGGACTTCCGAAACTGCTTAAGCAAGTTATGGAACATCTGTAAACCTGAACCCCGGACCAAAATGTGCTGAGTAATATGAAGGCAGAGATATTGATCTAAAATCGTTCATTGTGCTCCAATTCATAGATAAGATGCGGTACTACAGGCATAAAAGAGCTACGAAACGCTTTGGACGGTATTAAATTGCATCAACATATGGATGAATCTGTTGATGCTGCGACATAAAGTGAGATTACAACAGCCAACATAGCTGCAAATTAATTCCATACCGTTCTTGTTCATGATGTCCTTAAGCAAACTCAACTTTTGAGTTTTGAGGAGTGCCTCCAAAAGCATAGATAGGTCGCGAGCACTGCAAGAATGTAGGGAATATTGGAAATTGTACGCGCCGAAATTTGATGCACATAAAATTAAAACTGAAGAACCGACAAAATTAACTATAACTGCAACACCTACAGTAAATGAACCACAAACCTGCAAGCAGCAGCCCCATTTACACTGCCGCCAGAAGCTGCTGTAAGCACCAATAGTTTTAGGTACTGCTTAGCAGTATCCTGCAAACACAAGTAACCATCATATCAAGGGCAAGCATGTATCTTGGATTCGGTGAAACTTGTATTGAAGCAGCTCTATGTGCTTGGTATATTGAGCACATCACAGATATGAATCTCAAACGCAAGCATGACAAATTGATGTAAGGATATTGGTGACAAACCCTTTGCTTTCGAAGCCCTCCAGACTCATTTGTTAATTCCCCTAATTTCTCCTCAACTGCAACATAAGACCGAAATATTTAAAAAAACAATTACAAAGCCATTGAATTAAGATCAAACACACCTAACCAACAGGCTTGCATGGACGTGTCTACGACACTATCCACCCTCGTCTGCTCAAGGAAAATATTAGCAACATACATTACAATGCTTGTACAGAAGAAACTCAAATTTGGACCAATTACGTAAAACAAAGCAGCAGAGTCTTGTCCTACACATGTAGTAACAATACTTACAAAGATAATAGCAAAGTAAGACAGTCCTCACATGAATATGAAGCAAGAAATGACGTTATAAAAAAAACTCAAAAAAGTAAAGAGGAAGGTGAAAGTTGGTCGTTATACTACCATCACTTTGGTAAGTTCTGCGGATGCCAGAGCGAGAGCCAGCAAAAACCCTCGACGGTGCTAGCCTATGACTTCCCAATTTAGGAACTGCTGCTGTTTTCACACGCCTTGATTTCTTCGGGCTCTCGATATCCTTCGCACCTCCTACGTAGAACTTACGTTTGACTCCTCTGAGTTTCCAGTTGTTCTTGAGCACGCTCTCACTACCTGCTGTTATTCTTGCTTTCTTCGCCGCCCCCTCTTTTCCTTTCTCGGCGTTACCATCAAGGTCCTCATCGCTTTCTGCACATAACATTATGGGCTCTGGGTCCTCTCCATCATCACTATCTATATCCACAACATTCTGTGGAGTATCTGGGTCAACTCCAATGAATCCTCGGCACTTATTTGCACCACATTCACATTTCTTGGCATCGGCGCCACCAACACGTACAAAGTTGTAATCAAAAGTGACCTCTTCTCCCTGGTGCCAACAATATGAAAGATGTTGAGTAACTTGTTGCATACACCAATCTGTTTTAAATGAGGTTTATAAGAATGTTACCCACAATCCTTTAAGATTGAGATAACTGCTACGTATCAACAAGAACGACAAACATTTCCAATGATCATTCGCTTTATCATCAACAATGTACAAGATCACAAGACTTCTTCTAGGAACAAAGCAAGAAGTACCTTTTTCACGTCACGGATAGCAAAAAGCCCGATGCAAACTTCCCCGTCCACCATCCACTACAATCGATTGCAGTTCAAGTGAGAAAAATCCAGTCTACTAAGCAAGATACTTACAACGAATCTCTGCCACTATGCGAAATAATGACGCGTACTGTTTAAAAATTGTCAGTTCAATAACAAGCATTAGACTGAAGCTTATGTTCCAAGCTTGCGTAGAAAAGGCGAACAGACCCAAAAAGATGGAAGATTCACAATTCCAAAATCATACAAAGCTTGATAAAAAGAACCCTATAACTCCAGAAGGTGAATCTGCTATCCCCAGACGTAACAATGCAGGTATCCTCCGGAATGGAGGAGAGCATACACGACAAAGAAAAAGTCCTTGGGCACCACGAGAACAGCTACGACAGAGTATCATACGAGTCGTGTCAAACTATCAACTTAAATACCTTCTCCGTTTGACAGTTGGGTTCACAGCTATGATTAATGAAACGCCCCAGATTGCCTTTACTGCAAGCATCAATAATCTGCAAAACCAAATTCTTCTCCTTTAGCTAGAACATCTCGTATCAAAATTTGATGGGTTCATCCATATCGCTTGCCGTAAAATATCTCATGAATAATCTGAAGAACAATTTCTCGGATTGAGCAATTTAGACTATGCATTAAGCTTCACGGCAACTCCAAGAACTAGAGAGCACACAACATGACAAATAATTACTTGATTAATGGCAGCGACGACATAGACTTGCTTTATAAGTCCAATTACAGTGTTGAATCTCAAATTTATGATTATGCGAAGTGATCACGATAGCAGGACAAGAAATCACCTCATTGGCACTTAAAGTCATAAAATAGAAATGCTTTTGCGAGTTCATAGAGTACTCCTTCTGACGCGCTTCAAATGATGGCATGTCTAACACCTGAAGGTAAAAGAAAAAACGGCAAAATGTGATCAAACCAACCCAACACAATTCAACTGAAGGTTATAACCCATACACATTAGGTCACGAGACAAGACAAGGTTGGAAGGCGCAGGCACATACATGTAAAACAAAAATGTTTAACTTAACTCAACACATCCACTTAACAAACATCGTACACACTATATAACGTTTCTGATAACAAAGATCTTAGCATCATCCCTGTGAGCAGCTTGCAGCTAAAATAAAGTCCTCAAACTTGCGTAAGTCACAAATGACATACCTCCCCAACATACTCTATGATAAATGTGCCCCTTGGTATGTTCTCCAGAGCTCGAAGCCCATGACCCTTTTTCCCACATCGAAATAGTTCCACATTTGCATACAACCGCTTTTGGAACTGCAATTTTAACACACACACACACACACACACACACACACACATGTATGTATATGTAAGACCAGAACTAGTGAGCAAGTAACTTTTTTTATGAAAATAAACAAAAAGAACCAAAGAAAAACTTCATAACTGTGCAATTGTGTGTGTGTGAGTGAGAGAGAGAAAGAGAGAGAGACAGATACTCACTTGCTGATTTGTACAAAATGGTCCACATGGACATTGTTGCGGCAAGCACTCGACATTAAGCATCCGATTTAGGCAGTCCTCGCCACAGCCAACTTCTCCAGGTTTAGGAGGTGCACACTGACATACCATTGCCTGTTGGACAGAAATAAAGAAGACATTTAACACCAAAATTATTGATAAGTAAATAAATACATCTGAATCACAACACCTTTTCCGCATCCAAACGACAGATTCTGGGAATGTAGACAATTCAACCCCACCTCATCAGCATCCTGATGCTTTTGACTGCGGTGCTTGAAAATATTTCGCTTAATGAGCGTCCATACAGATTGTCCATTTTCTGTCACAGATGAACAGTCTATCTTAAATGTTCCAAATAAAATCAATTATAAAACCTTGTCAATTCCATAACTTTGGTGCCTAAACTAAGAGTACAATGTAAGATATTCGACAAACTACCGTAGAAATAGCAATAATGAAAACAAAACAAAATTCATTCTCACCTTGTATACCGTTGTACATGGGCTTAGAATCACAAGTTTCGTCATGTTCTTCATCCTCATCTTCATTACAGAGGGAACTTTCAGAAATTCCAAGATCTCTATTTATTTCTTCGTTACTTTTCACTTGAGGAATAGAGCAATCTGCGAACTGCTTATTCGGGTTCTCCTTGCATGACCTGCAAAAAGTAATCTAATTTAGACCTCACGAAGCTGATCCAAGCGGCCCCGTCTCATAAAAAAGCATTAGTAATCCTGTGCTCAAGAACGATTCTTCCACTGGTACATGTGATTGCTCTCCATACTATATTGTGAGCGTGAGATATCTCGCTAACATAGATAATTCTTAATCAAGGCTTCATCCACAAGACCCAAAAAATTTAGACTTCTGCCTCGACGACCGAGCAAGTTCAAACTGCATCCTACATCCATTAGAAAATAACACATTAATGATGGCACGCGGAAAACTAATGAGTCAGCTACTAAAATACGGAAAACTTTCTTGCACTAGTAATGAACGCGGAACAAGACTTAATATCATACCGCTTTTGAAGATGATTTCCATCAAGTTATTGCCCTTAATACCATCTCTACTGAGTATCAAACCTATCTATAACTCTTCCGGAGGCAATGACCTGATGAAAATTGAAGAGTAGTTAACACACTCAACCACTGGGACATTCAATCACCGAATTTCAAACAATAAAGCTAAAATCTGTAGTAGATGCCTGAGTGTCACCGGAAAAGTTAACCAATAGTAGAAAAATTACCAGTAAGCATTTGTTTCCCCTATTTTCTCAGCAAGGTCCACTGGAATGCTGCGCCACTTATTACAATCGTCACATTTGACCCATCCAGCTTTGGAGTTGATGCTAGCGCTCTCATCCACTTTCTCACCGTCTCCCTCTGTGACACCACTTGAATCATCTTCTCCACCAGCAGCATTATCAGTGTGACTTGAAAGATTTCTTGTAACCTCTGAGAAAAAAAAAGCAAGGCATTTGTAAAGAACCTTCCAATACATAAATAGCAGTAAAGAAAGAATAAAATTCTTACATTAAAACAAGCAGACTTCATCTGCTACATTCAGACGACCCAAGAGGTAAGAAGCAACTCACCAGAACTGCTTTCAACTTTCAGAGCGCCAACGACATCACCAGTAGATAAGCCTATCACTTGATTGACTGATTTGAGTGAATCAGATTTTTGAACAAGCAGAAAACGCCCTTCTACTTCATCTAGTGAAAACCAAAAATCAGCAATTATTTAGCCCTTCCGAGTATCATACATTGACCTAAGCCTTCTAACTTCATTATAAACTGGCTCTAAGTCTAAACTAACCAAAAAATACATACAAAAATATTTCAACATCAGTACAAACTCTTCTCCGCTTCAATCAGTTCACTGCAACAAAGCTGATTAGGATTTCCAAATATTAGACAAACTGTTTATATGTGGATTTTCACAAGTTCAAATTGCATGTGAGTTCATTAACTAAATTAAAAGAGATATTTCAAATTACTCTAAACATTAGCACTGCGTAACTCAGTTTTGAAGTCCATTACCTAATCGAAGGGAGGTCGCTTCAAATGTTGTCGGGGTCATCGCCCTCCCTTCCGAGATACTGTTAGATGTTCTTTGTTTGACATCGTTCTCACTCATTAATAACTGAGAACTGAGAGCTGATGTCCTGCTTTTGGATGGAGATACTCGAGAAAATCTACCCTCCGAACTGTTCCTACTTCCCACATGGACATCATCTTCATGTCCCTCCTTAGAATGAACGAGCATCTGTTTCCTATAAATTGAGTGTGTAGTTTCTTCTCTCAGCAATTCAGGACTCGTAACCATATGCATATCGTTTGATGAGGTATTAGATGCGACTATTGAAACACCTGCAAAAAACTTAAAAGATTTAAACGCCTCCACATCCCATTAAACATTTGGAGCAGTTTACATTTCTAAATTTACAGCCTTATCATTTGATACCGTGCAGACTCAAACACAGGTATGAGAGCTTACCACCTGTTGCGCTATCACCAGATGCGACCTTAGTATCTTTATCTACGCTTACAGCTAGTGTGTGTGCGATATCATCTTGAGAGGTCACAGAACTCGAATCCTCTCCATCATTCCCATTTAATTTCAAAGTATCATCCCCTGCTTTTGAGGCGCTATTGCTTCCTCTCGAAACAGCCTCCTCTTTGAAATCCGACAATACAAGCCCTGTCTCACTTCCTGTCGGAACTGTAGTTGCTTCAGCAGTGGTTTCACAATTTTTTTGAACGATTTTCAGGTCTGTGACATCATGAGAGACAGATTTTTCTGTCCTTAAACCTCCATTGTAAGCCTTGACAAGCCCGGTTTCATTTTTCCTACTTCCTTCATTCATCAGATTGACCTCTGATGTGTTTGCCACTTGAATTTCAATCATTTCATGTGCCCCACTTTTGGAAACGCTCGGAATCTCGTTATGAATTACATTCTCTTCAGGATGAAGATTGACGATGCTTTGAAGATTCTCAAATATGTTACTGTCGCAAAAATCCCCTCGTGTATCTACAACAGGTCCAGTAGCTCCAGCACCCTCTCTATCCATACAAAGGGATTCATCTGAGATATCAAGATCGTCCAGTTTCTTAACTTTAGCCACTTTCCCTTCACCCGTCCCATGCAGTAACGTCGGTTCCTCAGATGTCGAAGCGGAGCCTGCTAAGGCTCTATTGTCCACTGCGTTAGCACCTACATTCTCAGATTTTATGGCCAGCTCTTGAGGGAAAGCTTCAACTTTCACATCGCTCTTCAGTTCCTCGACGGAATCCTCAATGCTTTGCACATTCTCAAGAACAGGTGTCTTTTTCCGCCCACCTTTCTTCCTGCTACCTGACGGTTCTTTACTAGCAGGCGAGCTCCCACCACAAACCCCTGCGTTTTTAAAAGAGACCTTGCCTTTAAGACGTGAGCTACGTCGCCTTCCATCGTCCAAAGCAGGGATATCTGATACCGTTCTCTGGTCGATAAGTTCCATACTACACTTCGAGTCAGACCATTGCACATTCCCACTCTCGACAATATTAAACAGAATCCCTTCCAGTTCCCTTGACAAGCCTGTCACATAACCCCCCTCCAGAGTTTCACTTCCTTCAGGATGCGCACACTTTACAGTAGGAGCCATACCTGTGCAACAAGTCCGTCAACGAGCTTGTGGACCTTCCCCTTACTATCTGTTATCGTCGTAGACTCAACCCCTGCGTTCTACTTCCCGAGGTGAAAGAAGAGGATGAGTTCTCCATCAACTTTCAAAGGCACACCCAGGGGTGATACATGACCCATTACAGCCCAGAGTCGATTAACAATCCTTCGAAATGATAAAAATCTTCATGGCAACAATGCACACCTGCATTGCACAACTTGCAGTTAGAAATCGACTTATTCTCGTAAAACCTACAAATCATATAGGTTCATTGTTCTTAGCAATCAAATACTTCACACGTGCGCTCTGCACTCTGAGAGAAAAGTGGTAATACGCATAACCTAAACTAGAACCTTCATGGAATCCACGACGTGAACAATTGCTTGCATTCTCTTTAAATTCTCTAGCATTATTCACACTTCTTATATCCCCGGGTCTACTACGCTCCGATACTAACTATCAAACATTACTGCAACTTCCGACCTACCTAGAAATGCCTTCAATTAGGGTTTCAGATATCACACCGAGTACATACTTAACCCTCATAAAATCCCTCCATCACTCAACAACACACAAAGTTCAAACGACTGTGACAAGAAACACCAGACCATCCCACTCCATCTTTCTCCCCGCATCTGCCTATTCACGCAACTGTCCACAATTCAGCCGTTACCGTAACATCCACATCTAACGACACAAACAGGAGCACACGAGCATTCGCTTTCTCGCCCCACACAACCGTCACGCTAACATCTCCTGCCATCCCCGGACGCTCCCTCCCTCTCTCCCTCTCAGAAGAGAAAACAAAATCATCGTCGTCAACCTTCTCATCACTCTAATATGTACACCCTCTCAAATGGAACCGCCACTGGAAGAAAACACACACACACACGCACACACTAATCAAAGCTGAAGCAGATCTTCCACATCACGCACCTCGCATGCTCAACATCCTGCCTCCATGCGACGCCCTCTTCGGCTACACGTCCCGCAGTCCACCCTCCATCCCTGCCCAGCCGAATCTCAAACCTAGGCAACACTAAAAGAATCTCGCAACCAACACTACAAAACCACTCGTCCTCGTCTTCACTTCGTCCCCGATCCTTAACCTACAGCCCTTGTCCCTGTCCCTGTCCCCGTCCCCGTTTCCGTCCCCGCTCTGCTCCCATCACCACATCATTGCATGTCCAGCGCCACTACAGCTACATCGAAGCCCTCGGCCACGACACAAACTCAAGAGGGACGTAAACGGGAAGTGAAAGGGGAGAGAAAGAAGCAGGGAGGGAGGAAGGGAGGGGTGGGAGGAGGGCTGATGATGCGACGGTGACGATCTGCAACACTTAGAACTGGAAGTGGTGTTCCTTCGCCATAGCCGGGGTTTGAGGAATGAATGCTCGCAAACTTTTTTCTTTTTCTTCGTCTTCTTCTTCGCAGGTGGTGAAGGGCAGCGCCCCACCCTCCCCGTGCCCTGCTCCTCACTCCTCCTCGACGTCGCCGATCAGCCAATCGCCACTCCGCTTCGACGATGGAGGAGCGAATTGGCACTAGAGCACCATCGACCACCTCCTACACCATCATCAGCATCCTCGACGTCGTCGTCTTCGTCGTTGTCGTTGTCGTCGTCGTCGTCGTCAAGTCATGCGGCAGTCTTCGGGCTTCTTCCGCTCCTCTCCCGCCGCTCTTCGTTCGTCTTCGCACGGCTTTCCGGTTCCACCGTTTTAGGGCTCCTGGCCTTGGGTCCGCTCTGTGCCCTACGTGCTCCGTGTTCTCCATGCGTGCCCTTCGTAAGAACGTCTGTTCCCCATGGGGCTTCCTGGGGCCCTCTCTTTCCACCTCGCCCCATGAAATGGAAAAGCAATTTTTTTCATGGATCATGTTTTAGTAAGTGGGTAAATAGCATGTGCTCTTAGAGAGATCCATGATAAAGGAATCTTGAACATGGATAAAAAAGATTACATGAAGTTCCCAAATGGTAACACTTATTGTTAGCATTCTACTTACTCTCATTAATTGTTGTTTTTGTTTGTTTAGTTTGCAACTTTGTTTGTGTCTAAAGCATTTTTATTGTCCTTTTTGTTATTCCAGTTTTTTCGTGAAAAAAAATTGTATATAAGAAAAAAATTCTAATAATATTAAACCTGGTTTGTTCATCATATACCATGTGTTTGTATAAATGGACAACACAAAACATTTCTAGCTAAATTAAAACTTGTATCACTTTGATTTGTTTTATTTTACAAACTTTTTAGTTACCATCATTGGTGGTACAATGTGTGCATTTAAAGAACGCTGACTGTTTTACGAATATCATAAAGATATCTTTTTCTTACACAAGTTGATATATTATGCTAATTTGAAGAGTTCTCAGCTTCAGTGTATCATATGAATGGACCATCAATACAAAACATCAAGTAGGATATTTATTAGGTGTCAAAATATATGGTTGATTTCATTAAGTTTTATAAAAATTGTAATTAGTATTTGAATCAAAACTCATTGAATTGATTGATAAACTTCAGAAGGTTGTTGATTCTATGATGATGTGCATTATAATTTCAAAATACTCAATCAAACTAAAACTTTAAAGCCAAGTATAATTTTTTTTAAATATAATATTAATAATGTTATGAATAGATCATTATACTTAGATGCATAGAATATATATATATATATATATATATATATACACACTTACATATTATTTGTATGATTTTTTTGTTTATATGAAATCAATTCGTATCATATATACATATATATATATATATATATATATACATACAAAGAAAAATATAATTATTATGTGAAATGATGTATTATTTACTAATTAAGAAGAAAATAAAAAATCAAGTTTGGTGCTTGCTTAAAACCATAAGACATCACAATACAATGTTCTGATAATAAAAAAAAATTGATAGATATATTAAACAATATTCTAATTCCAAATTCAAATAAAATGTCCTTATCATGTGATGTGGCATTGGGTGCCAAATTTTATCAAATGTATATAGTTTAGTTGAATTAGTGGTTTTTCATCCATTGAAACTTTTTTTTTAGTTGATTTTGTTAATATCAACTAAGATTTGGATACTTAGGCAGAGAAAAAATCTTAACTTGACATTCTTATCAAGTCAAGTCTTGTGAGTGATTTTTTAGAGAGAAAGAACTTTTTATAAATTTTTATTTACCTATGGCAATTTAGCCATTTTAATAAAGCTTAAGATTTACTCTATTTTCATACTTGCTTAATTTAGTTTGAAGTAGATTTTTAATCTTTCACTTGACAAGAATGTTCTATTTTTAAAATTTTGTGGTAGCAAATTAAAATAGAATAGATCAAAGAAAAAAAAATCCTTTCTTTTATTATTTTTTAGATGCTATTGTTTTATTTTTAGAAAGAAAGAACTTTTTATAAATTTTTATTTACCTATAGCAATTTAGCCATTTTAATAAAGCTTAAGATTTATTCTATTTTCACACTTGCTTAATTTAGTTTGAAGTAGATTTCTAATCTTTCACTTGACAAGAATGTTCTATTTTTAAAATTTTGTGGTAGAAAATTAGAATAGAATAGATCAAAGAAAAAAAAATCCTTTCTTTTATTATTTTTTAGATGCTATTGTTTTATTTTTCTTTTGTCACTATACCATAGCATTGTTACAATATTAGATATTGTCAAGAGCAATATATTGTGTAGTATTAATATGTAGCAATAAAATATATTAAAAGTCGTATATGAAAGTCATACAAGAAGGTTACTAGAGTGCGAGTTGCTATATTATACAATATTGGAATAATGGAACAAAACAATGGTACATTCAATTGGTTGTAGAACTTATTACAAAAGATATTGTGGTATGGTGTAGCAAAGTAGATTTGACTTTGAATTACAATATAAAGCAACAAGACTTTATGGATTGACTCTACAATATTGGGATTTTAGTAAACAAAGATGCAATCTAGATTGCATGAATAATATTAAAAGTGGCATTGTAAATAAGTATTGCTTTAGAGTTAGAAGTGGCATTAATGGCAAAGACAACTCGTGTTTGGAGATTTTAAAAATTAAAATTTGTTTTATCATCTATAAAATTATATATCATCTAGAATCCAAGGTAAAAGCAATATAAGACTATGTATACTCCATTTTTATAAAATTTGCTTTGTGTACATTAATTATCATGCAAATAATGTGCAAATCATATTGCAATGTTAAGATCCATACAATGAAGGATCTCATTGTATTTATAGATATCAAAGTCACAAGCTCTCAAATGATCAAAGATATATGCGATTAAAGGACCTTTAATTATAAGGCTATGTGGTCATAGGACCACAATGATAGGATAGTATGATCAAAAGTCTATTATGTGGTCATAGAATTATTAAAATAATAATAAAAAAAATCATCTAAAATTCTTAAATATTAATTTTAGAAGCTCATTCCAAGTGCATATGGAGTCCAAATTTGATAATTTTTTTAGTCAATTCTATATAGAAGAGATCCAAAGAATCCATAAGTATTTTTGATTTTTGAAGTAGAGATCATTTAGAATATTGAAGATGCACTTTTTATATATTGATTGTTTTTTAAGTAATTGTTTGATTTTTTTTTTCTCACTTTTTCACATTTTATTTTATTACAATTATCTTATATTGTCACAAATTTTGTAATTTGTAAATATCAACTGCAAGAAAATGCCAATTGTTCTAGTTCACTTTTTTATTTTTGCATTTGTATTGTTAGAGATAACGATCCAATATAGATTTCTAGATTTTGTTTTTGGTGTCCTGTCCTAATTACAAGTATTATTCTTGGAGGTTTTCTAAACTTACTCCATTTTTTGTTTATATTGTTAGGCATATCATACGAATGAAGTTGAATTGATAGCTAACAAGATCCTTTTATTTGAAGGTACGTTGGATATGTAATAATCTAAAAATAATAATTAGTGAACTGCAAAGCTTAGTCATATTTGCAAGTATATATTGGCGTTTTAGCCTTTAGATAGTTGTAAGTACCTAAGTAGTCCTTTTTATGGTACATACTAAAATCCAATATTATCAAATTCTTTTATCAGACTATTTCAATAGTGATTATACTAAAAACTTCATTCTATTAGTAGATATTAATGAAGATTTCAACCTATTTCAATGTTGCATATTATTAGAAGACTTTGGATCTCAAAAGTAGACATGTTTTATAAGATTTTCAAAGACATACATATGTAAGCCAATAATTACATGTATAAATAAGTAGAAGTAGATAGAAGTAAATAAAAATAAGTTAATTCTATAATATCTTCTAAGATAGCTTCTTAGAAGCTTCATAGATGTTACTTTGACTTTATAGGTGTCTATTATTGACTTTTAGATTAAAAAATTAACCAACAAGTTAATCATGTGCCACACATGTTGGTAGCTTGAAGAATAAGCTAATTATGTAGTGAACATATAGAAAAACTTGCCTTGTAAGTCAAGGCATGTGTCTTACAAAGTCAAGACATATTGGAGGTCCTATAGAACATTGCCATATAGCCCCCAGTTAGATAGTATATATAGAGACAAGAATGAAGCCCCTTTTATTCTTGTCAACTCTTTTATTGCTTCTAGTCTAGTTTCAAGAGTCTCAAGTTTTCTTATCTTTTGGCAATAAGCTATTGCAATTTCTTTTTAATATATGTACTTTTTTATTTCTAATTTGTCACTTTTTCTTTGATACAAATTTCATTGGTTTATACATCATTTTCTAGTTTATGTCCTTAACAAATTGGTAAGAATATACTTACAATATCAAAGCTTTTTCTTGTATTGATTAAGAGTAAATTATTTGCTTTTTTTACGATAAGACATAAGCATATTCAAAGTTATGGATTACCCTCTTCTAAACTAATATTCTTCTTAGTATTTTCTTTGTGCTCAAGTCCCTTCTTCTACTTATCTTGAATAGCATTAGATATTTTTTTGAGTGTTATTATGGCAAAGCTTATTGAAATAAAGAGTGTAATGGCATAAATGCAAGAGTAATTGAGGGAGTTGATGCTTGCGATGTATAAACTTAGGTTACCACTATAAGGATCAATAAGAGTGGCAAGAAATGAAGATATAGAGATGATTAGAGCTCCCTCAATATCTGCACCAAATCATGTCCATTCATCCATAGTAGAACAACTTTCAGATGTTAGAAAACCAAGAGTTGTCTTGCTCAAAAAGTTTGATAGTACAAGATCCAAATTTCAAGGATTTATCAATCAAGTACAACTTGTAATTGAACTTCAACCTCAAAGCTATCCAACTTTAGGATCACAAATTAGATTCATTGGTACACTTCTTTTAAATTTCAGCACTATTGTTATTTTCATCTTTTCTTGAATAATGAGATTCAATATTAGATAATTTGGAGGCATTTTTGGCAAAATTTTGGCCCATGTATGGAGAACATGATGCAATTCATGTTGCAATTAATAACATCCATATTTTACAATAAGACAATCAATTTTTAATATTATATGCTTCACAGTTTTAACAACTTGTAATTGAT